TGCCAGGAGTAATTATTGAGTGCAGAGCCAGGAGTAAGCCCTGCATCATCAGGTGTGGCCAAAATATATTTATATAAATAAATTTAAAATAAAAATAGGGTTACAGCTATAGTACAGTGGGAAGGTGCTTTCCTTGCATGCAGCCGACCCAGGTTCAAACCCTGATACGCCCCATATGGTCTTCCAAACCCATCAGGACTGATGCCTGCCACAATGCCAGGAGTAAGCCACCGAGCACCACCTGGTGTGGCCCCAAAAAACAGTGTTTTGTAGTATCTGAGAACTCTAAATCTTACAGGGATCCTTAGCATCAAAGTAAAAATAAACAGAGTACATTTTTTTCTTTCTTCTTTTCTTTTAACTCTTTGAAAGGTGAAATGTCAGCCTCCAGCGACTCACTTGCTAACTTTCCTTTTTGTTTTCTTTTCTTTTTTTTTTTTTTTGTGTTTTTTCTTTCTCTGTTTTCTTACATGGTTCTGGTGGATTCACATTTGCTGGTGCTGGTGCTGTTTTTCGTGTGATCGTCAACGGTTTTGGGTGACCATTGACCCTGTGACCTCAAAATGGTGTCCAACTAACCACTTACAATTAACATCTTTTTTTTAATTAACGAATTGATGGTATTATCTTTTTTTTTTTTCTTTTGGGGGAATGGGGTTGGGGTTGTTTTTCTCTATTCTAGATTACCCAGTCAAGAAGCTGAAAACGACGGAGAAAGGTTTTGGCTTAGTGGCATATGCTGCAGACTCTTCGGATGAGGAGGAGGAGCACCATGGGGGTCATAAAAATGCAAGTAGTTTCCCACAGGGCTGGAGTTTGGGTTATCAGTACCCTTCATCGCAGCCTCGAGCCAAACAGCAGATGCCATTCTGGATGGCTCCATAGACAACAGTGGAGCGGAACTTTGACCCTTGGCAACTCTCTTTAGCAATAATGCATGTATTTGATTGAACAAGACTTTGGGCCTCCACTCGGAACCATCTCGGACCTTTGCGGAAGTGAGCAATGCCGAGCCCCCTGTCAAATCGGGGTGCTGTTCACTATCAAGCACCTTCACTCCTGCAGTTGGCCGTCACCTCTGTTAAACTCTCCTTAGGATCACAAATTGGTTTTGGAACTTTTTTTAACAGGTGGTGAAATGTGTTCATTCAACCAAGTTCCCCAAAAGGGTCATTCCCATATGCATTTGACTTGATTCAGTCTTTCCACATTTCTCTCTTCTCACATAAAGTTTCACTTGTATTTTACTACAGTTTGGTCCATTTTGATAATGACTGATTATTTAAAAAGCCTTCCTATTAGTGAAGAAATGAATTGACCTTCTTTTCAGCACTTAGATCTTGAGCTTCTCAACCCTAATTCATCTGGGAGTCTTTCTGTTCCAAAAATCTGTGGATTCACTAATTTAAGACTTTTGAGGGGTTGGAGCAATAGTACAGTAAATAGGGCACTTGCTTTATATGTGGGCTGGCCTGGGTTCAATCCCTGGCATCCCACAGGGTCCCCCATGCCCCGCCAGGAATGATTCCTGAGCACAGAGCCAGGAGTAGGTTACCCCTGAACATTGCGGGATGTGACCCAGAACAAACAAAAGAGACTGTTGAGTGTAGCTGGATCTGCGTAGGAAAATGGAATGATTTTTTTAAATTGTGTCTTTTTATTGGGATATTCAAAAGCTGGCCCCTTCAGGCACACTTCTGTCTCAGATAGCCTTTGTGGCAAGATTTTATTGCCCTCCTAAGATTTTTGTCTCAACTGGGTCAGAGAAAACTGATCCAAAGCTGATCAGAACTCGTCACAGAGATGAAACCCGGTGGTCTGTCTGTCTCTGAGCTGGTTGCACTTAAAATAAATATTTGACCACTGGCAATAAAATGGTGAACTTTGTGACTGAAATTGCAACTTGTCCTATTTTCTTGGCATTACAAATTTTGCCAAAAAACCCCACAAAAACCCACCTTTTTTGTATCAGATGTTGGTGTGTGAAAGTGAAGGAGCTAGTCTGCTGAACCAGGAGTAGTTTTGAGATACTGAACTGTCATTTTTGCACATTTGAATACTTTGCAGACTGGCTTTGTATAAACTTATCCTCTGGTTTCCTATATGTTGTAAATATTTAGGCCATAATTTCATTATAAATAAATGTATGAATATTCTGCTACGGTTTCTTTATTCTTTCACAATTCATATATACATTGTAAACTTTTTTGCTTAGTATAATACAAGCATAACCTCCCCTGAAAGTGAAATTCATAGAAGGATTAATGAGTGCATTATATGACAAGAATTTTATGGCTTTCTAAAGTAAAAAGCTCAGGTGGAGAGGGTACTACAGGGATGGTGAAGACGGTAAGACACTTGCCTTGCATTTGACCCCAGCTTCCCTGCCCGCCTTCCACTAAAACGAAAAAGTGGGGCTGGAGCGATAGTAGACTTCCCTTGCACGCAGCCAACCTGGGTTCCATCCCTGCCGTCCCATATGTCCCCCAAGGACTACCAGGAATGATTTCTGAATACTGCCAGGTGTGGCCCAAAACCAAAAAAATAAAAATAAAAAGGTAAGTCCAGCTGAGGGACAAGGAGAGATAGTACAACAGGTCAGTACTTGCCTTGCATTTAGCTGACCTGGTTTGAACCCCAGCACCACAAAGCCCTGAGTATGCTCCCCTGCTGCTGAGTAGGCATGGCTCAAACACCCAATCCAAATAAACTCCAGGCAAAAACTATTAGAATTACTGCTAGATGCTTTCATTTTTCTTTTTTTCTTTTTGGGTCTCACCCGGCAATGCACAGGGGTTACTCCTGACTCATGCACTCAGATTACTCCTGGCAGTGCTCAGGGGACCATATGGGATGCTGGGAATCGAACCCCGGGTCGGCCATGTGCAAGGCAAATGCCCTATCCGCTGTGCTATCACTCCAGCCCTAGATATTTTCATTTTTTATATCCAAGCTCTGCCTTGTTGTACAGAAAGAGGGATTGATTAAAAAATATCTGGAGGCAAGGGCGGAGAGATAGTATAGCAGGAAGGCTGCTTGCTTTGCACAGTCTCCCTGGCGCCTCCAGTGAGCCCTGAGCACAGTTGGGTGTGAATCCCCCCCCCCCCCAAAAAAATTAACCTAGGATGTATGTATGCTGCCTGATAGCGAAGTGGCAATAATGCCTTCCTTTGCTGTTTTGTTTAAAATCACATCCACTTAAAAAACAGTTGAGGGGCTGGAGCGATAGCACAGCGGGTAGGGTGTTTGCCTTGCACACAGCCAACATGGCCAACACAGGTTCGATTCCCAGCATCCCAGCATCCCATATGGTCCCCCAAGCACCGCCAGGAGCAATTCCTGAGTGCATGAGCCAGGAGTAACCCCTGAGCATCGCCGGGTGTGACCCAAAAAGCAAAAAAAAAAATAGTTGAATTTTGTCATTTCCTTTACTTTGTCATTTCCTTACCAGAGTACATTTGAGTGGGGAAGGGACACCTAATTCTAGAATACCTATGTCTATGTTGATAAAACAGCAGAAACTGTTGTGAATACATGGGAGGTGAACATCTGGTTAAGTCACAGTGAGGCTGGTGCCCAGTGAAGTTCCTATGGTGGACCCTGGGACAAGCTGCCAAGGCTTTCAGACATTTTCTGTGAGCATCCTAGGCATGCATGGGCCATCGGTGCTCTTCCCAGCTAAACCTAATCCATGTAAGGGCTGTAGTCAGTAATTTTTAATTTTACTGGAATTGCTCTGACATGTTTGGGAAGAGGTTTTGGTGGGTGCCCATGTCCTTGTTATTTGGCTAGCTTGGGCTTTGTAGGGTTTTGCACTGTCCACGCCCACATATCCCCTCCCCCCAAAAAGAAATGGGGACTGGCGATACAGCAAGTAGGATGCTTGCCTTGCACGCGGGCTATCCATGTTCAATCCCCAGCATCATGCCCCTAAGTTCACAAGCACCGCCAGGAGTAACCCCTAAGCATCATCAGGTATGGTCCCAAAACTAAAAGATTTTAAAAAATCCCCTGAGATGCTTCTGGAGCCACCGCGCCATCCAGGCACCCTTCTTCGACAGTTTTTGGGGAACCTTATTGGGGACTCTCCTTGTCCCTCAGCTGCACTTACCTTTTTATATTTTTGGTTTTGGGCCACACCTGGCAGCAAACTCCTCAGACGATTTTTTAGTTCGAGTGTTGGGGCCACACTGGGCGCTTACTCAGGGCCTGCTCCAGACTGCTCAAAGAGCACTCCTGGATGGAGGGGATGTGGGAAGGGCGGCGCTCAAGAGACCCCCTGGAGTGCCGGAGCTCGAGCCGGTCGGGCGCGTGCCACGCCAACGCCTTCCAGGCAGTCCTGTCGCTCCGGCCCAGTAAGTTGGTAGACAAAGATCCTTGGCTTCTTGGCGAGTCCCCCACGTACTCATCACGTAGCAGTTTCGCTGTGCGGGTGTGTGCGCGAACCCCAAGCCCGGGGCGAGGCGGGGCCTTAACGGGCGACCGGTGGGGGTGGGGCATCGCCGAGCTGGGGCGGAGTCTGCGCGCGCATCATTGGGCCAGGGCGGGGCCTGTGCTGGAGGCGGGGCGTCTCCGGGCCGGGGGCGGAGCCTGTGAGGGCTTCGTGGGGGGTGGGACGTCCGCGGGGCGGGGCCGGACTGGGGGCGGGGCTTCTCGCGCGTCACGGGGCGGGGCGGGGCGTCGCCGGGACGTGAGCGCCGGTGGCGCCATCTTCCCTGGCCCGGGAGGGGTCACAGGTCGGCGCCCGTGCCTCCCCCTTCTCCCCATACGCCGACCCCCGGCGCGACCGAAGCGGGTCGGAGCCCGAAGGGCGAGGCCGAGGCGGGTGAGGCGGGGGTGCGGCGCGGCGGCGAGGGCGTGGTGCTGTCCGGGGGGGACGGCGCGGACGGACGCGAGGAGGGGGCGGGCCTGGGGGCCCCGCGGCCTAGAGCGTGCGGTGTCTGCGCTCCCAGACCCCGCGGCTCCGGGGGTGACGTGAGGACGTCGTCACCGGCGGCCCCGACTCCCTCTTCTCTGCCGGCTCCTTAGGTGGCTTTCCTGGAGCAGCCGAGGAGGGTCCCCGCGACGATGGACGCTGGAGGGCGCCCCGCGGGGGGCTGCAGCGGCCCCGCGGGGCAGTCCCGGGAGTACAAGCTGGTGATGCTGGGGGCCGGCGGCGTGGGCAAGAGCGGTAGGTGTCAGCCGGGGCCGGCGAAGCTCCCACGTCCACCCGAGCCGGCCGGACAGCGCGCGTCAACGCCCGGCCCTCACCTTTGTGCGGGTGGTAAACTTTCATTTCTTGTCTTTCAAGCCATGACCATGCAGTTCATCAGCCACCGCTTCCCGGAAGACCACGACCCCACCATCGGTAAGTCTCCTGCAGCGCCCCTGAAGTGTCCAGAGACACCCCCTAACGAGGCATTTCTTTTTTTGTTGGTTTGGTTTGGGGTCCACAACCTCGCGGTGCTCAGGGCTAACTCCTGGCTCTGCAGTGCTCAGGGGTCACAACTGGGGCTCCGAGGATCCAGTGTGGTGGCAGGGATGGGAAAGGGGATGCATGCAAGTCACGTGACATCCCCTCTACTGTCTGCCCTGCCCCCAAGACTGCTGTTTTCTGCTAGTTTTTTTTTTTTTTAACTTTGGGTCACACCCCAGCGATGCTCAGGAGTTCTGCACTCGGTGCTTGGGGGACCTTCCGTGATGCAATCACCTTACCCACTGTACTGATTTCCTGGCCCCTTTGCTACAGTTTGAGCCTTTTTTGGGTCCCTCATTTGGATTTTTTTAGCAGTAGAGTCATGGAACATGCTGAAACTTTTTTCTTTTTTCCAGGAGTTAAGTCTCTCTGCACATAGCCACCTCTATTCTGGCTCTGTATCTTATTGAGATGTAATGGGGCACTTTGTCCTGATTTTTTTTTTCCTAATTGTTCTACTGTTACTGTGTCTGGCATATCGAATACTCTCGGTAGCTTGCCGGGCTCTCCGAGAGGGGCGGAGGAATCGAACTTGGGTCGGCCATGTTGGCCGCTTGTAAGGCGAACGCCCTACTGCTGTGCTATCGCTCCAGCCCTACTGGTTCTACTGTATTGCCAGACTAGAGGAAAAAGTTCTACTGTATTGCCAGACTAGAGGAAAAAGTTCTACTGTATTGCCAGACTAGAGGAAAAAGTTTAAAGGCCACTAAGAGAAGCCTGTGGCTGTCACTTCTCTATGGGTCAGACTTAGCCTGACTGTAGCTATGAGTCAGCTGGTTTGAACTTCCACAAAAGGAAGCAGATAAACAAGTTGAGCCAGCACACTGAACTCTAAACCCAGCTGTGCAGAACCTGGAGTCCAGTCCTGCATTTGCTTCCTTACAATTCAAGTTCATCCTCCCGTGTGGGTTTGTTTTTTTTTTTTTTTTGAGAGGCAGGGTCACACCCTGCTCAGAGATTACTTCTAGCTCTGCTCTCAGGAATGTTTCCTGGTGGGGTACTGGGGACCAATGTGTTGTGCTGGGGATCCAACCTGGGTTGGCCTCATCAAGGCAAGTGCCTTTTCTTCTATATTATCTCTGCAGCCCCTTGTTGTCTTATAATCCTGAAGTCTCTATCATTGGCAGACCACTTTAAAACTTAGAGAGTAGTTTTGTTTTGTCTTTTAAAAAATGTTGTTGGGGCGGGGGAAACGTTGCTGTAGGCTGGAGAGATAGTATGGTGGATTGAGTGGTTGCCTTTCACATGGCCAGCCCAGGTTCAGTCCTCAGCACCCCATATGGTCCCCTGAACCCTACCAGGAGTGATCCCTGAGCTCAGAGTCAGGAGGAGTGAGTCCTGAGCACAGCTGGGTGTGACCCTGAAACAAAAACAGTTGCTGTTCTCTGTTAAAGACAGTCATTCATTGCTGAACACGAGGAAGCCTGTTTGACTCAGGAGTAATGTCCCAGGCTGAAAGTAAAATGGGGTGGGGTTTCACAGGTCTCCTGTATTGGTTGCTTTTTGTTTTGTTTTGGGGCCACCCAGCTGTAACCGGGATGGAACCAAATTGGCCTCATGTAGCAAGGCAGATGCCCTACGTCTGTACTGTTGCTCTAGCCGCCAGCTGCTTCTTCCCTTTCCCCTCCTTCCCCTCCCCCCCACCCTCCCAGTGATGCAACAACTTTGAGCCAGAGAGCAGAGAGATTGTACCGCAGGGAAGACCCTTGCTTGTAACTGGCCCAGGTTTGATCCCCTAAGCTCAGAGGCAGGAATAAGCCCTGAGTACCGCTGGATATGGCCCAAAAACCAACAAAACAACAAACTTGCTGTCACCTTTCCTAATGCCCCTGGGTCTGCTTTAGGAGAGAGTTGACTGTCTTAGGCCTGTGCTGTTTCACGCACCCAGTGAGGTCTGCGTTAACTCCGCTTTTCAGTTCTTCGGGTAATGGACATTTCTGTGGATATGGCAGATAGGACTATCCGTTTCCCCTCCACCCAGCTCCTATTCTGGTGATATTCTCTGGTTCAGCGGCAGATACTTGGGTTTGAAGTTCTTGTTGAGCACTGTGGGGGGGCCCCTATGACTACAGTGGTGAGCAAAAAGTTGGAGTGGGTGTTCTCACTGAGTTTAAGGTTAATACATTTTTTTTTCTTTTTGGGTCACACCCGGCGATGCACAGAGGTTACTCCTGGCTCTGCGCTCAGGAATTACCCCTGGCGGTGCTCAGGGGACCATATGGGATGCTGGGAATTGAACTTGGGTCGGCCACGTGCAAGGCAAACACCCTACCCATTGTGCTATTGCTCCAGCCCCTAATGCATTTTTTTAAATGTAGGAGTACTGCTATTTATTCAGCCATTGATTAAGCTGGTTGAATTTGAGTTAATGCATTTTCTTTCCAACTTCAGCTGCTATCTTTTTTTGTCATTTTTTTTGGCGGGGAGGCCACACGTGGCAATGCTCAGGGCTTACTCCTAGCTGTACACTCAGGGATCACTCCTGTTGGGCTTGGGGGACCATCGGGATGCTGAGGATCAAACCCAGGTTGGCTGCATGCAAGGGAAATGCCCTATTAACTCTACTATTGCTCAGGCCTCTCAGCTACTATCTTTTTTTTTTTTTCTTTTTGGGTCACACCCAGCAATGCACAAGAGTTACTCCTGGTTCATGCACTCAGGAATTACTCCTGGCAGTGCTCGGGGGACCATATGGGATGCTGGGAATCAAACCTGGGTCGGCTGCGTGCAAGGCAAACACCCTATCCGCTCTGCTATTGCTCCAGCCCCCCTTTTTTTTTTTTTTAAATGTAGGAGTATTGCTAATTATTCAGCTACTATCTTAAGGGCCAACATGGCCGACCCGAGTTCGATTCCTCCGCCCCCCTCAGAGAGCCCGGCAAGCTACCGAGAGTATTCGATATGCCAGACACTGTAACAACAAAGTCTCCAATGGAGACGTTACTGGGCCCGCTCGAGCAAATCGACGATCAACGGGAGGGCCTTTACCTTTACCTTTACTATCTTAAGAAAAAAAAAACTGTGCATTGTGACCAGCAGCACTGTAGCACTGTCCTCCCTTTGTTCATCGATTTGCTTGAGCAGGCACCAGTAACATCTTCATTGTGAGACTTGTTCTTACTGTTTTTGGCATAGCGAATATGCCACAGGGAGCTTGCCAGGCTCTGCTGTCTGGGTGGGATACTCTCGGTAGCTTGCCGGGCTCTCCAAGAGGGATGGAGGAATCTAACCCAGGTTGGTCTCATGCAAGGCGAACACCCTACCCACTGTGCTATTGCTCCAGCCCATTGTGACCAGAAGGTATAAATTTTTTTGTTTAGGGCCAGGAGTAAACCCTGAGCACCTCCAGTATGGCACCCAAAACAAAACTGTTAAATATATGTGTGTGTGCACACATTCATGTAGGAAAAGTATACATGAGACTCTATACTCACTAGTGACTTACCTAACACTCTTCTCTTTCAGGTTTCTCTCTCTCATTTATTTTTATGCTGGTCCCAATGTTATGATTATATTCACTCATAAGAAGGGTTTAAGAAAGTATGCAAAAGAAGGGGCCAAGCGCTGGAGCAGTAGTACAACGTAGAACTTTTGCCTTGCACACGACCACCCCAGGTTGAATCTCTGACATCCCAGATAGTCCCCTGAGCACTGGCAGGAGTAATTCCTGAGTACAGTGCCATCAGTAACCCCTGAGCATGCCTGGTGTGGCCCAAAAGCCAAAAAAAAAGGGGGGGGGCAGATAGATGGTATAGAGGGCAGGGTGCTTGCCTTGCAACTGACTTGGGTTCTGTACCTAGCACTGGTTCCCCAGGAGTGATGCCTGAATGCAGAGTCAGGAGTAAGCCCTGAGCACTGCCATGTGTAGCCCACACCCCACCAAAAAATAAAGGGGGGAAAGGGGAATAGCCAGATAATGCACAACAATTGTTGAATGATGAAATGATCAAGTGAGCTGTGACCCCAAAACCAAAATAAAACTATAAAAGCCTCATTAAGCTATGAATAAATTTATATGAACATGTAATTTTGGTTTTGAAATTCCAATTTTTATGAAAACAGGACAGAGAGCTAGTACAGTGGGTCGGGCTTGCCTTGCATGCAGATGACTCCAGTTGATCTTTGGCATCCCTGACATCTGCACACCCCCAGGAGTGATTCCTGAGCCCAGAGTCTCACATCAGCACCACTGAATGTGGGCCAAACCCTTTAACTGCATCCCCCCCCCCCAGAAAAAAAAAGGAAAAGAAAAATGTCTTTTCATTGAACATCCAGTTTACATCTCAGTTTTCCTGAGAAAATTTGGTCATGTAAAGAACTAGGGTGTCATCTGCTTTTCCAGGAAATTAATTCTCATGTTGCATATTCCTACATGTGGGGTTTTGTTTTGGTTTTTTTTTTTCTTTTTGGGTCACACCTGGAGATGCACAGGGGTTACTTCTGGCTCATGCACTCAGGAATTACTCCTGGCGGTGCTTGGGGGACCATATGGGATGCTGGGAATCGAACCCAGGTCTGCCATGTGCAAGGCAAATGCCCTACCCGCTAATCTCTTGAGCTTCCATGTGTGCGTTTACAATATACCTTTCTTCCCTCCTGTAGAAGATGCTTATAAAATCCGGATTCGTATTGACGATGAGCCTGCCAATCTGGACATTTTGGACACAGCCGGACAGGTATTCCTTCCCCATGGGCTAGTACCTTTGTGCTTCGGTGAGGGGGTGGGAAGGTCTGCAGAGATCCTCACTGGTTCATCTCTTCTCTTCTTTTATGTATGCTGACTCAGGATAGCAGGTAATGGACAGCTCTGCTTTTGTGTGAATTTTGCGGCTAGTATGTCAGTAGCTCTGGATGCATCAGTCACTAATGACCCTTGTTCCCCTCTAGGCAGAGTTTACTGCCATGCGGGATCAGTACATGAGGGCTGGAGAAGGGTTCATCATTTGTTACTCGATCACCGACCGTCGAAGTTTCCATGAAGTTCGGGAATTCAAACAGCTTATTTATCGAGTTCGACGGACTGATGATACGCCCGTGGTTCTTGTGGGAAATAAGTCTGACCTAAATCTACTGAGACAGGTAAGGGGGGAAACACTGACTGCATTTCTTTACCATAAAAGTGCAATTTTTTGCTAACCTTGAAATTTTTCCTGAATGGGGCAAAAGTGGTGGTCTACGGGAAAGGCATGGGCTTGCAAGGTTCCCAGTTGGATCCCCAGCATATTATGTGACTGCCCAACACTGCCAGGAGTAAGCCCTGATCACTACTGGATGTGGTTATTCCCTCAAAAAAAAAAATCTGTGTTTTAGGGGTTGCATCAGGTGCAGAATCAAAAATTGTCTCCTTAAGCTTCAGAGTAAAGGGACCAGAACCATAGTATAGAGAGTAGCGCCATCTGCCCTGTATGTGGCTGACCCAGGTTCAATCCTCGATCCAGGTTCGATCCTTGAGTTCTGCCAAGAGTAAGCCCTGAGCACTGCCGGATGTGGCTCAAAATCAAAACAAAAAAACGTCGGAATAAATCTGTTTTTATTGCAATTGGATTTATTTAGACTTCAGTATTTGCTTTTTGTTTTGAAACCTATAAGCCCTGGCAGGGCAGGTAAAGAGAAAAGGGGATTCTGGGAGAGGCGGCAGCATCCTTCAAGGAAACAGTGGGGTCCAGAGCTCTGCTGCATGCTGGAGAGACAAGGTTCAGTGAAAGGGTATCCTCTCGGCCTCTGGTGGAAGCAGTCATGGGCACAGGCTTCTTGGAAGCAGTTCATCCATCATGCTTTTCACTTGATCCCTGGTCAGAAATCCTTTTAGGAGTCTGAGGGATAGGACCGTGGGCAGAGAATGCTTGCCTTGAATGGAGCAGACTTGGGTAAAACCCTGACACCACCTGGGATTCCTCATGCTCCACCAGGAATGATCCCTGCACACAGAGCCAGGAGTGAGTTCTGAGCACCACAGGGTGTGCGGGCCCCAAATCCCCCAAAAGAATTAAAGAATAAAAACAGATCTCTGTTTCTTGTGAGCAGCAGGTATAAATATGAGCTTAAATATTAAATAGGTGTAGGTGTGGGTCCCCTTTCCATTCCGTTAGCAGCTTGGCTGTGTGGGGAGGCCGTTATGATTGTTTCTCATGATTAACAGGGAAGATTTTTGTCTTCCCATCTGTAAAGGTCAGCAAAGAAGAAGGCCTGGCTCTGGCACAGGAGTTCAGCTGTCCCTTCTTTGAGACGTCGGCTGCCTACCGCTACTACATCGATGACGTGTTCCATGCCCTGGTGCGGGAGATCCGCAGGAAAGAAAAGGAAACTGTCCTGGCCCTGGAGAAGAAATCGAAACCTAAGAGCAGCGTGTGGAAGAGGCTGAAGTCACCGTTCCGGAAGAAGAAAGACTCAGTGACCTGAGGGAGGCCAGCCACCGTGTTCCTGGGCTGCTGGGCTGTCCCAGGGCTTGCAGTGACCGTGGCCGTGGGCCAAGCTTGTTCTCCTTCCTATCAGGACTGCCAAAGGGGGCAAGTGTCCCCGGAGCGTCAGTGCTGTGGTATTTCACGTGTTCTCGATTAGCTGATTGTGATGCATTAACCCAGAGAAGCGCCATCTCCTTGCAAGATGTCGTTAATAGAATTATGATTTGCCAACATTCTGGGGGGTGCTGTTGCTGACTGTCACTCCACGTTTGTTGTTCTTTCCCAGGGGGGACTCTATTCCAAACTCAAAAAAGGAATTGTGGCCATGCATCACTCCATTCGTCTCTTGCAGCCTCAGTGTTTTGGGATTTGTCCCCAACCAGAAATCCAAATCTCTCTTCGTCCCTCCCCCTGTGCTTCCTTGAGAGACCGAAACACCAATAGGAAATGCACATCAAATACTTCAGCCAGGACATGTGGAACAAACTGACTTTGGTTGCATGTTCTTCAGTGATTCGAACTGTTGCCTTCAGGTGATGCGTTTGCAAGAACTTGTTAGAAAACAGGAGTCTGCGGGTTGTGTTCTCAGGAGTGTTTTCTGAGAGGGCCCCCGTTCAACCCAGATGCACTGGGCAGTGTAAGGACACAGAACCATGTAAACCTAGTGCTTTCTCCCCTGAGCTGGTCTCCTGCTGTTGACATGAAGTTGCCCCTTATTGGGCGGGGTCTGCCTGGCAGTGCTCTGGATCACCAACGCCACAGCTGGCAGTGTCAGAAAAGGCCATGGGGTGCAGATTTCCCTGGCCATGAGTGCCAGCCACTGGAGCTATTTCCCTGGTCTGGTTTCACCTTTTCTTTCTTTCTTGAGAAGTGGGGTAAGTGTTTTGGACCCAGTTGTGCTGGGGCTGACTCCAGCTTGGTGTTGGTGTGGGCAAGTTTGGACCACACCCAGCTGTGCTTAGAAGGCTAAGCTGGTCACTGAGCCCGGAGTCTCACGGGCAAGACCAGTGCTCAGCCACTGAGCCATCTCCCTGAATCGCTCTTGCCCTCTTTTGCCTTCAGACCCCGTGAGAACCAGCATTGAAACCAAGCTCTCAAAACCGAACCTCGGACTGAGACAGCCTGTGTCTTCGGTGGTTGGGAGGTTTCCCCTTGGGGAATGCTCGCTCTGTAAGGTCGGAGCACTTGCTCCAGGCGCTTCCCCCTGGCCTCTCAGCAGAACTCCATCTGCCAGAAAGGGCATCAGTCCCCTGCTGAGACCAGCCGCACTTCCAACATAAGCAGTGTGGTTTGTGAAACTGCCCCGTGACAATCAGTGATCTCAGGAAACCTGTGGCATTTCTGTGTAACACACCCCTCCTAGAGCTTTAAAACTACAGTGTTGAGTTTCTCAAGAAGAGAGTCTCTGGCAGCCGCTAAATTCCTCTCAGGCCTGTCAGAGCCTCAGCCAGGTTTGCCCTGAGAACACATCCCAGTATCTCACTTGGGTACTGGGGCAGAGTTGAGGAACTGCTGTACTGGGAAGAAAGAGCCTGAAAGGCTGGTGGGGAGGGGCCCTCCGGCATATAGCACAGCAGGACAGGCGCTTGCCTTGCCTGTGGCCAGTATGGGTTCAATCCCTGGCATTGCAGATGGCCCCCGCAGGAGTGATCCTTGAGCACCGCCAAGTGTGGCCCAAGAACCAAAAAAAATATGTTGGTGGTGACTGTTTTCGAATGAGGATTCTGTTGCTGTCTGTGTTCTGGGTAGGGATAAAATGCACAGTGTAAGACTATGGCGGCAGATAGCATTAAATTCTACAGAACTACCATTTGTGTCCATCATTGTGGGGAAAACCTGAAGGGATAGGCCGTTGGCCCTGCATGCAGAAACCCTGAGTTCAGTCCTTAGCCATGCATATGAACCCCCGAGCCAACTAAGGTAAATCTCCCTCTCCCACCACCAAATAAGACGCATGGCTTTGTGTAGCATTTTAAAAAGCACAGTTCAGCTGACTCTCTTTTGTTCCTGGTGGAAGGATAGGATTGTTTCCTTATAGCCTGTTTTGGGAGCACTTTCTCAGAGTGGCCACCCTGGGAGGGAGGGTTCAGGAATGGTAGGGTGGGGGGCTGTATTAGGAGACCTAAATGGAAACGGTAGGCCCAGGAAGCCGAAGAACCTCTGGTGAGGGACTGGTGCGATAGTACAGTGTGTAGGGCGTTTGCCTTCCACGATCTCCAGCATCCCATATGGTCCCCTGAGCATCACTGGGTGTGACCCAAAAAGTGAAAAGAAAAAAAAAAAGGACCTCTGCTTAAATACATTTTAACACCAGCACACACCACGGGTGCCTCACAAGACTGTGGTGTAATGCAAATTGCAAGGCTGGCATCAGCCTGTTAAAGATGATGTTCTAACTTGATTATTTTAGCTTGATTGTTTTACCTGGAGAACCCCATAGAAAAGTTTAACAAGTCATGTTTTATGGGATTAAGGTATCCCTAGAATAAGACTCAGAATTTGAATCTCTGCAGGACAGAAGTAGCACTGTGGGGAGTGAAAAGGAAATACTGTGCATGGGCCGGAGAGATTTTGTTTTTCTTTTTGGGCCACACCCAGCAGTGCTCAGGGGTTACTCTTGGCTCTGCACTCAGGAATTACTCCTGACAGTGCTTGGGATGCTGGGAATTGAACCCTAGTCAGCTGCATGCAAGGCAAATGTCCTCCCTACCTGCTGTACTATCGTTCTGACCCCAAGATTTTGTATATATTTTTTTCAAAAATTGGGGCTGGAGTGATGGGGATGGAGTGAGTAGGGCACTTGCCTTAAATACTGCCAGCCTGGGTTCAATTCCTACCACCCATATGGTTCCCCAAACCCTACCAGGAATGATCCCTGAGTGCAGAGGCCAGAGTAAGCCCTGAGGATCTCCAGATGTGACCAGAAAAACCAAAAAATAAACTCTAATTTATGGGGCCAGAGAAATAGTACAGCAGATAGGAAACTTGCTCTGTATTCCACCAATCTGGTTTGATCCCCAGCATCCCATATGCATGGTCCCCTGAGCATTACCGGGTGTGGCCACTAAACAGAAACCCTAATTTAAAACAAAATTTTAAAATCACAATCTCATAGGCTGAGGAGGTGGCATAAGGGACTGAATGAAGGTGGCCTAAGGGCTCTACATGCAGAAGCCCCAACTTTGCGCCCTGCTGAGTACTGCAGGAATGGCTCCTGAGCTCTGAGCCTGGAGTAACCCAAAACCCTCCATGCAAACTATAACTCATGTATTTTTTTATTAATTAAAAAAACCAGAACTATTGAGAATTCTATTCATGGTGCTATGTATTTCAAGGAGTATAATATGTGTAAATCATAAATGTATTCTTTAGTTATAATTTATACACTAAATAGCTTTATCCAGCTTAAGGGCAATAATAGCAATCAGTTACTGCCTAGAATTTAAGAGAAAAATTCAGGGACAAGCTGAAAAGCACTGGAACTGTCCGTACCAGATTGCTAACTTCAAGGGCTGAAGAGTTAGTATGGAGGGCAGGGCACTTGCCTTGCACATGGACAATCCAGGTTTGATTCCCAGCATCCCATATGGTCCCCCGACCACCCTTGAGCAAAGCTGGGTGTGGCCCCAAACTAAGAAACAAAAAAGTTGCTTAGAAAATGTGTAAGTGTCTCGAATCAACTCTTGAATTAAAAAGGGGATATGTGTTTTAATATCTTGATATACTTGCAAGAATTGAGCTATTGTGATTTGGCAAGGAGGGTGGGATAGAAAAATATTCCATTTAACAGTTGTATATGAAAATCACTTGTATGACAATATAAAATTTAAACAACTTGTTGTTTTTCTCTTTCATTTACTCAATAAATAAGTGGGCATATTTGGGTTAATTGCAAAAGGGTAATTTTAGAGATGGGGGTGATTTGGGTCCACACCTAGTGTAGTATTTGGGGTTCACTCCTGGCACTGTGCTTGGAGTCACTCTTAGAGGGGATCAGGGTCATATATGTGGTGCCAGGGATTGAACTGGGCTCAGCCACTTGCAAGGCAAGTATCTTAGCCCCTGCACTATCTCTCCAGCCTTACAAATCTTGAAGCAAAACATGTTAAGTTTTATTTTCTATAAAATACTGATTTTTAGGGGCTAGCAAGAGTGCACAGCAAGGGGCTAGAGCGATAGTACATCAGGTAGGGTGCTTGCGTTTGCGTCGCACGCGGCCAATGTGGGTTCAATTCCCAGCGTCCTATATGGTCCCCCAAGCACCATATAGGAGTAATTTCTGAGTGCAAAGTCAAGAGTGACCCCTGAGCATCGCCAGGTGTGGAAAAAAGGGAAAAAAATGCAGAGCAAGCAGACACTTGCCTTGCAGATGGTCAACTTAGATTTGATCCTAACACCACATATGGTCCCTGAACACTGCCAGGAATGATCCCTGAGCGCAGAGCTGGAGTAAGATCTGAGCACTGTGGGGTGTGGTCCAAAAACAAAAACAAAAATTGATTTACATTTGTGTACCCACAGGCCCTGGCACACACACTCTTCGTCCAGAGATCATTTCAGGGACAGGGAAAAAAAGGATGCCAGCTTGAAAGAAAGTGTATTTTCTACCTGATCAAGGAAGCCATCTCCCCGACCCCGCTTTCCTCTGCGGGGTCTCACATACCGCTGTGGCACTTGCCTGGATTTAGCTGGGCTCTCTGGGAGTTGCAATCTCTTCTGTAGTTGTAGTATTTGCCCCACGTGCCTGAATGCTCACACATCTTCGGGGGGGGGGGGGGGGGCTCACACCCCTTTGGCTGTGCTCGCTCTCACGCTCCTAACTGGAGTGCAGAGGGAAATCCCTTGCTGCACTGGGAACTCAGAAAGTGCTGCCGGGCCTGTCCACTCATGCGATGGCTCTGTGATTGGCCTGAAGGATTACCCTATTTTTTTGTTGTTGTTTTTAAGCCTCCTTTAGTACCATTTTTGAGGTGTCAGGAGACCAGACCCAGCAGTACTTAAGGGCTATTCCTGTTGCTGTGGGGGGAATCCTATGTGGTATCGGCACATTCTCCCTCTACAATCTTTGGCTATGGGTTCATTTTCCTAAATTTCTTAAGTGAACAAAAGCAAATATGAAAATATGATTTGAGGGCTAGAGTGAATATATGTGGTATCTTGCATGCTGTCAACATGAGTTCAGTTCCCAGCACTGCATGGTTCCCCCCAAGTACTGGTTATTGCCCAAACCTCTCCCACATTCAAAAAGAAAATTAAGATTTGTGGACCCAGGGGAATCACTCAGTGGCTAAAGGACTTGTTTGCAGTTTTGTGGCTCAGCTGGGCAGAGGCTGGGGCTGGGCAGGATTCCCCAGCCCTGCTCTCTGAGCCTTGCACAATAGGGACTTCCTGGGGTGGGTAGGGTGTTTGTCTTGCACTTGGCCAACCCAGGTTTGGTTCCCAGCATTCCATATGGTCCCCTGAGCACTGCCAGGGGTAATTCCTGAGTGCAGCGCCAGGAGTAACCCCTGTGCATCACTAGGTGTGACCCATAAAGCCAAAAAAAAAAAATAGGGACTTCCTGCAACCAGTCATGTGTGAGCACCCCAGTGGAAGGGCTCCGCCCCAGCAACCTCTGCAACTAAAGAGATGGATGGGGCAGGAGAGATGCTACAGGAGGTAAGACTTTGCTCACAGTCCACCCCAGTTCAGTCGCAACACCACACTGAGCACTGCCGAATCAGTGAGCATGGAACAGAAATAGTCTGTTTCACTATGCTGTGTGGCCCCAAACCCCAAAATGAAAGTGTAAACCAGAAAAATGGAGAAAGGTCTCTGTGGGCTGGAGCACTCACTTTGCATGCAGGTGGCCCAGGTTGGATTCCTGCAGCACGTGATCTTCTGAGCACCACTGGGTGTGGTCCCAACCCCCACATCCCAAATGCATATACAAGAGAGAGTACAGTGGGTAGGGTATTTTCCTTGCACAAGGTCAACTGGGTTTAATCCCTGGCACCACATGCAATATCCTGAGCACTGCCAAGAGAATCCAGAGCCAGGAGTAAGCCCTGAGCACCACCAGGTATGTCCCAAAATCAAAACCAAAAAAAATGCTTGTACTAACTGACCTGTTGAGCCCTGGCACTGCATATAGTTCCTGAGCACAACCAGGAGCAACCCATGAGCATAGAACCAGGAGTAGCTCCTGAGCACTCCTGCCCCCCACCAAAAAATATGAGTGCATCCATTCCTTAGCACACCTTTGAGTCATCCAGTTTTTCTTAGCAAAATCTGCCAGGGTGGGGACTTATCATTTCTTGCTCTTCCCAGAACAAATTGTTGCTAGTTTTATAGGATGCTCTGAGCCAGACAAAGCCTTCCGCCCCTCAGCATCCCCCACAGATGCTCTACCATATTCCGGGCAGAGGCATGCATGTGATAAAGTGCAAACAGAGCTCGTCACACGGAGGTGAGCCCACAAACATCCTCGAGTGTGGCATCATCCTGCACCAGCTCTGCCAACTGGGAGGTGGGCATGCCTGCCATCCAAGCGGAGTGAACTCACCCAGGCCCAACCAAACACGGTGCTTACTCTTACTTGGCATCCTTGGGATCTTGGTATCCTTGGAATCTTGACCACATTCTCAAGAAAATGTGGTCAATGGGCTGAAGACATGGACAGGGGTTATGGCATGTGCCTTGCATGCAGTTGACCCCGGTTCAGTCCCCAATCCCGAAAAGGGTCCCTTAACCCCTGCCAGAAGCAACCCCTGAGCAGAGCCAGGAGTAAGCCCTGAGCACTGCTAGATGTGGCCTCAAAACCAAAAAAAAAAAAAAGGAAAATGTGGCCTAGTCGCAGGTAATGTACACTCACCACCAGCACTATCAGCAGCAAGAAAGCAATAACGAACAAAAATGGGCCTGTGGGGCTTTTCCCGGTGATTCTTGGGCTGCGCATTCAACGTGAGATTCCAAGAATTCAGTCCTGCTGGGGCCCAGCAGAGCTGGGAATACTGGAAGTGCCCCTCCCCCCTGCCCCAGCAGTGTTCAGGGACTCCAGGAACGTACTTAGCAGTGCTTAGGGGATCGTGGTGCTAGAGATCGAAGAGGGGCTGCCAAATGCAATGTGTGTGCTTCTTTTTTTTTTTTTTTTTTTTTTTGGTGGTGGAGTATTTATGTGTTCAGGAGTGATTCCTAGCTGTGTTCAAAGACTTTTATATTATATGTGGTACCTGGGATTTGAACCAGGATCAGTCTCATGCAGGCCAGCTTTTCAAACCCTCTGCTATCTTTCCAGTCCCCTAAAAGTCACCTTGTAACCAACCTTTAGAAACTGTGACTCAGAATAAGTAAGAAGAGGAGACAAAGGCTCTTTCTTGCTTTAGGTTTGTCTGTTCTGCCCACTTGCCTTCATTTGGTAAGCCTCTACTTGAGAACCAGCTGCACACTCGGCACTGTGCTGGGGGCTGGGAATTCAGCAATGAATAAAAATAAGACACAGCTCTTGGTTCTCAGTTCTCTTCTTTGGCATCTCTAATTCCAATGTGCAAAACTGCAGGTGAGAGATTGGGAGGCAATGGTGGGAGAGTGAGAAACGAGAATAGTCAAGAAATGATATCATCTGCTTGGGAAGCAGTGAGGGAAGGTTACTAACTCTCAAAAACGCTCAAGAAGAAGTCAGTCTGGTGTGAGGGATCATAAACAAGAAAATGTCAAGTCAGGGACAGAGAGACAGTGCAGTGAGTAAAGCCAGCACCTGGTGCCCAGGTCAAACCTGAGTCAGCTGCAGACAAGGCAGGGTCCTTAACCATGGACCTTAACCAGGGCCAGGCTGTCAGGCCCTGCACTAAGGTTTTTTTTTTTGTTGTTGTTGTTTTGCATCATACCCAGTGATACTCAGGAGTAACTCCTGGCTCTGCACTCAGGAATTACTCCTGGTGGTACTCGGGGGACCTGTATGGAATGCTGGGAATTGAACCCAGGTTGGCTGCGTGCAAGGCAAACACCCTACCCATTGTGCTATCGCTCCAGCCCCCCTGCACTGAGGTTTGATGAAACACTTGCAAGAAATGAATAGCTCCCCAGGTTTGAATACAAGAGCAATTATGAGTCCCCAGGATGACTTTTTTTCCCTTTTGGGCCACACCCAGCGATGCTCAGGGGTAACTCCTGGTTCTGAATTCAGGAATTACTCTTGGGAAGCTTAAGGAGACCATATGGGATGCCAGGGATTGAACCCAGATTAGCCACGTGCAAGGCAAGTGCCCTACCTTCTGTACTATCTCCAGTCTATTGATTCTTACTCTCCCTCTAGAAGTTTGCTCCTAAATGCTGAGCAGAAGGATATTTTCTTTGTTTCTTGGGCTTCCCAAACAGTGCTTAGGGGACCCGGGGCCACTCCCAGTGATTCTCCGCCAATTGGCTGTAGGACCTGATAATAGGCTGTTGCTTGGGCCTCAGGGTGCCGCATGCCACAAGGGTTTACACTAAGAGATGTTTGGGAGAGGCTCCTGTCATGTTAGGGATGGGATCAGAATCGAATTTCCCTGGACCCTAAGCAGGGCTTTGAGCATTTTTCAGTGGTGCTTGGGAGGAGTATTAACCTAGTACTTATTAAGCAATTGAGATAGCTTATAAAGGTCATCGTCATTAGGGGGTATGGTGCTGCCAGCAGGTCAATCTGTACCTGTGAGGTGAGTGCATCAGCAGTCTGATGGAGCCTTCAGACTTCTAGATACCCCAAAATTGCTGCTGTGCCTTTGGCCAGATCCCAAAAACTTGGGGCAAAGTTTACCAAGAAAGTAAACGGCCAAAAGTTAGGTATATGGGAGACACACCCACAAACC